GCAGGTGCCTGCCAAGAAAAAGTAAGTAACTACCTTAGACTGCATATTGACTTCAGCTAAATAAAAGTTAACTGACATCAATCTTCTCCTTTGTTAGTAGACTAGTGCAAATTTTGGAATTTTCAATCCATTTTGTCTTGATTCCTCCCCAAACAAAATATTTTTTTTTTTTTTTTTAGGATAATGGATATTCTGGAAGGTTTCAGTACAAGCTAAACAAACAGTGTTGACATTCTGGTAATTGAAATGTTTCAATGAAGTTTGTTGAACTGCCCTGACACATTTCTTCTCAAATTGGTTCAAGCTGAAATGCTATTTCACAGTACAGTATGTTTTGTATGTTATATTTGATCAATGGATTGAGGACTTCTCCTGTTTACCAATTAATTGCCATTATTTTTTTTACTTCCTATTTCTCTAAATCCAACAGTAGCACACAAGAAGGCAGAATTCTTTTCCCACATAACTAAAAAGTTTAAATGTGTTCAGGCGTTCATGGGCTTGGAATCTGACTTTGAACAGTGGAGCAGCAGAAGAAAGGCAGAAGCAGATGGTGGCCGCGAGTGCTCAGAGGGCTGTAGGAGAACGGTCTTTCCCCAGGAGAGTGGTAGAGCAATTCAGATGCAGCACACAACTGTGAGCAGACCCAGCTCTTTAGTCCACAAAACCTGTTGGGACTTGCATTTCACATTGGAGCGGGAGAATCCCCTTCAGTTTGGGGCTTCGGGGGGAAGTTTTAAGGGCTCAGCAGCGAGGGGGTGATTCCTCCCACCCATAGGGTTAGAAGTCTCCAGTCACAGTATCTGCTCCATTGTCTTTGCATAAGGTTGTTGAAAGACAGCTTTTCATTTCGGTGCTCAATCATTCCCCCGTGTTTCCTTTGAGAAACTGCAATAACTTGAGTGCAAAACACCAATAAAAAATGTAGCATGGGAGAAGGAATTTACCATGTAGATCAGCCTTAGTTATGGCAGAGAATCAATTACCGTCCTTCACAGAAACGGGACTGAGCCATGTCCTACAAACAAGTCTAGGAGCCAACAAGTATTGAGCATATTTTATTGACCCCTGAACATACATACTTCTTGTCCAGTCCCCAGAAAATGATTTAAATTATGAATATTTGCTTATTACTGATTATTAATGCATGGAAAGTGCTGTATATGACTAATGCATTCTTTCAGCCTACCTCATTTCTCGGTTTTCCCTCAGCTATCCTCATTTAAATTCTGAGTGGAGTGAATCACATATGTTTATATGCATTCACTACAGCGTTTGGGGATCCTCAACTCATGGTGAGGGAATAGCACCGCTCTCTGGTAAAGCAAAAGGGGTTCCAATTCCCATTTATTAAAATGCTTCAATCAAAAAGAATTTTTATAAAATAAGTATTCCGTGAGGGATCTGATCCTGAATCCACTGAAGGCGATAACAAGACATACATTAGTGATGAGATCAGTGTCTAGACTTGCAAATTTGCTTTATTTAATATATGAACTCTTCCCTACTACTCTTTCCTTTCCTCAGTGGACACGAGATGATAGAAGACAGATAAAGAAAATTCCCATCATACTTACTGAGAATATATGACATACATGAAGATAACCCATATCTGTGTCAAATTGCACAAGGTGGAAGTCCAGAACATGAAGCTTGTTCTTTTTCTTTGTTCCATTTCAATGCTACATGGAGCTAAAATCCACAGCACATGCCAGGAAAAGGTTGGGCATTCAGCAAAGGGCAAACAAAACCTTTTCAAAGATTTGCCCATTGGAAAAGTGATATTGCTACCAAACGCCCATTTCTCAAGACTTCAGTCAAAAGCAGGTTAATTGCCCAAAAGAAAACCTGAAGCTGTTCTGCTAGATGATCCAGAGAAGCTGATCTGGGGATCACATGAAGAAAGAGCGGGTAAAATCAACTTGGATTAGTCAACTACAGAATTCCCTTTTGACTCCTGCAGCTGATAACCTTGAAATCCCCTCCAAACTGGCCAGCAGCATGAACTAAAGATAGAGCCCACTACTCAGGGCATAAGCCACACCAATGAGGGTGGAATTTAGCTACTTCTGAAAATTCTGAAGTAGAATACTTAACGTGGAAGGGACAGTAAGACTGGGAACAGTAAGCAGACGGTACAGGTATGATCAGGCTTAAAATCTAGTGTAAAAATGTGTTGATTTTGGAATTTTTTGGAAGACTTCCGTGTGTGCATTAAATGAAATAAAGTATTCTGCATAAATCAGAGCATACCAGCTGTTGAAAATCTGGGCAACGATGTGCTTGAGCTGCAGCGAAGATGGGAAGAGACAAGCAGGGCTGGAGGAAAATGTCTGTGCCCTGAAAATGGGACTGAGGGCTGAGGACCTTCACCGCTGGACCATGGCAAGAGATTCAGAAGATTACGCTTCAGACTCAGGAAATGTTAAGATATTTTTCAAATAGCAGGGGCCCAAATACTGCTTCTTGGTAAACTTAAAAAGGCTTGATAAAAAACCCTCAGAGGAAATAAAATAAAAAAATCTTTCACGGTGCTTTTATTAACATGGATAGTCTATTAGTTAGCTCTTCCTAGTTAGCACACTTCTCCACACACTTGCAAACTAACATTAATATAAAGCAGTGTTATCTTGTCATATTAAGAGCTCAGATGATCAGGGAGAACAGTGACCATGCAATCATGGCTATCAGGAATAAACTATTCTCACGAGTGAAAGAAAGGTGAAAATAGAAGAATAACCTTTCCCCTTAGGGTGGAATAGATCTAGTTGCACTATTTCTGTAACAAAAGTTTTAATTTTTCTAAATAATTCTAAAGAACCTATGTGAACTGACTGATTCAGCAATGTGTCCACCACAGCTCTGCTGTCAGAACCATAAGGGATTGGTATTTCCTTTTCTTCAGCATTTATAACCCAACCAAATATTTTAAAAAGAAAAGCTAGTAAAGGAGTGTAGAGAGATAATAAATGCTGCATAATAAAATGGGAGCAGAAATAAGGAAAGCTGTAGCTAAATTAGTTAATCTGGATGTGACATATCAGGGTTTAATCATATATAGAAAGAAAGGCAAAGAAGATTCCTTCTCTTTTTTATGAGCAAGGATACATACGATTTTAGTACTTTAATTAGCTGTGTGCTTTAATTACAGCCATACAAACCCTTATTTCATTTTCTGTTTTCTGTCACAAAGATCTCTGGAAAAATCCTAGAGAGATGATTTATTTTCTCTTCTTTAAAACTGTAGCATTAGCTATTTTGTCATTTAATAATCAAAAGCCTCATAGATTCTACTTTGCACCAGTGGACACACTGGTAATAATGTTTTGCACCCGGAGAGTTTAAACACTCTCTCCCTGTGCCACGGTGTAAATCCTGCTCCTTTTGTTTACTCCTGCTAAGCAGCAGAAGGTCTTCTGGGATGCTCAGAAATTACAATGTGCTTATAATTATTGTTAGTAAATTAATACAGAAGCACAAGTAAATACTGTATGCAGTATGTAAATATTTTTTATAAGCAAATCAGATGGGGAATGTCAGGATACTAGAACCTCAAGATCTAGGCTTAATAAAACAATTGAAACTGGAAGTTTTAAACAGCGATCTCCTTGCTCCTGCTCTCATCAATGTCAGAAAATCCAGAGATTACCTGTGGCAAACTGTATGCTGAGCATGTTTTCTACACACTGTAGGGATACTGTGTGTAGAATAGGAATGAACAGGTATTTTTGTTGAATATACTGTATAATCAAAATGCAAATAACGATTTGACTGTACACTAGTTAGAAAAATATTTCATCATTAGCTGAGCAGTTAAACAGAAAACAAAACTTCCATTAGGGAAAGCGGGGAAAAAAATCATTCGAAGGTTCTCTACACCATGTGACGTGGTTTGCTTACCCAAAAGCAGCTGTTTCATTGCGAGTACCTATGTGAAATATTTCTTAGACTTGCACTTTCATTCACATACCCTTCTCCGATTTATTTGTATTGTACATTACTGCAGTATGGGGTATTGAATCATTTCTTTGTGTCACTGTTTTGGATCATGTTGTTTTAATGAATTATAACTATTTCAAAGTCTTATGTGATCCAGACTAACCTCCTTTAGCAAACTGGTCCTGTGTGCAAAATCTGGTGTTCAATTTCCAGCGCTTTATGAATTACTGATTCTGTTTTCAGTCTTTGAAAATGATAATGTGATAAAACAGTGGTGTTGTCATATTTGTGAACTGAAAGAGATGCTGAGAAAGACTGCAGTTCTTAGACTCTCTTGCCCATTTTATCCATCTGTCTACATTTGTATATGGAAATATCATCATGGTTGTATATTGCATATGCTATTCACAGCTTACTCAAGTCAGTCAATGACTCTTGATTTTAATGCTTTACCATTTAATTGACACTATCATGTAATAAGGCAGATGCTTTGTGGTAATTCACAAATAATCTACTAGCCATGACAGAAAAAGCGTCAATAAAGCCCCGCTGAAGACTATGGAACCCCCTACCAGTTGGTGATGGAGTGTACCAACATGCTGGTCCAGTGGCTAAATCCTGCCTAAACAGAACAGACAGAACATGGAGGCTGATTTAGCTATGGGTTATTGTACAACCTGTACAGCTGCTAAGCAATTATGCCGCAGCCTGGGGGTATATTCAGCTTCCCTGAAGCCTCCACTGATGTCTCCTATAAGAAGCCGATTCACTCGGGCTTTGCGTGCCTTAAACAGTCAGCTCTGATAGCTCTGCAGTGAATTAACTGCTGATGAACGCAAACGTATGTATCATACATATATCTGCATGTATTCGGTTTGGCTTTGTTCTCCACCAGTTTTATAGCTGCAGAACTGTACGGCCACCGCTAAAGACAAATAGGCCTCTGGCATCAAAGTGTTCTGTCAATGAGCTGTCAAAAGCAATCCTAAGCCAGCTGTGCTTCAGTGATGCTTAAATGACAGAGAACTCCCAACAACCCAGCAACTGGTTTACTACGGTACCTTTTGTTCTGGCGCAGAACCTCTGAGCCCTTTCTCCAGTCAATAACTGCTCTGGGAGAAGCACTTGGTTTACAACGAATTGTAACTTCACCTCCAACTTGGACAACAGACTTTTTTTTCACAGGAGTTTTGGAAAAATCGGGTGCTGCAGCTAAAATAGAAAAGTAAGAAGAAAGAAGAGTAGAACAGTATGCAGCTGACAAGTTACTAAATGAATTTGCTAAATTCTCTTCGAGCTACGTAGTGGGTGAATCCAATAATTGCTTTGCTTTTGAGGTTTCTGAGAAAGCAGATAAACAGGAAAATGTACCAAAGAATAGCATTCATTGTATCTGATATATTCTGTTTCTAAACTCCCTACCTAGAAACTGTTTGCTCTGACAGTCTTTCTTTCAGGTTATCTGCAGACTGGGAGAATCTGTGATGAAGAATGAGGTTCCCGAGCAGAGCGATGTCAGAAGGATGAACATCACACTCCTGATCCCAGCCACGTGTATTCATCTGCAGAGAGTGTTCAATTACGAACACAGTTTTTTTGTGGTTTTCTATTCATAAACCGACACTGTTTTCTGAAAGTGTGTTTATTTGTCCAGTATTTTATGTGAAAATTCACACTTGGAGAAGGAGAAAACAGAAGACCTAACAACAGTTGGGTGCTCTCAAAGTCTGTGTTTTTCTGGTTTCACTGGTGTTTGGCGGTTGAAGAAAATTTGTATTTGGATATCTATAACAGAATACTTTTTATAATATATAAACCAATTCCATTTTACGTGAATCTCCAATAATCATTAATGAGATTACTTGCAACATGTTATTTGTTTTTATATACAAATTTGCCATATGCTTTTTGTTTACAGTTAAAACTATTTTTCCAGCTTTCTGAAATGACTTTTAAAAACTGCAGAATAAATAACTCAAAATGCTAAGTGAGAAACAGCATTCATTAAACCTGTGTGTACGTGACAAAAAAGACCACACATGGGATTAGATTCTTCCCCCAAACCAGTCACGAAATACAATAAGAAAAACATTTGCACGTGGGTGAAGAGCAAGCAGTAAAGAAATATCAACAGACTTGAACTGTTAGGTGGAATTGAATCTAATCATTTCTTAATTTCAAATTTTTTTCTATGAGTGTCCTGTTATACACAGTACCTGTTCAGTTTAATGACATTTACTCACCTATCACACGCAACTCAGCATTAGCATAAATGGTATCGTACTTGTTTTCTGCCACACACTGATAAAGGCCAGAGTCTGACATATTCAGCACAGGTATGATAAGAGTTCCATTTTCTATTTGAATTCTTTCCTGATAAAAGAAAAACAAGCAAAAAACATTGACAGAGCCAACGAGTGTACAACCTCAAAGTTTTTTGGTATCACACTGAAGAACCTGATCATCATTCAGAAGCAGAAATGTTATTTTCTTGGAAGCAATGTGGGTGAATACATCAGAAATACGATGTATACCTCAGCTATATGGTGGTGGTTACATTTTCAGACCTCTCAGCTCTTCAAACTTTTCAAGAGCTCCGGGCACTTGTTGCAGAGTCGTTGCCTTGGGCAGGTTTGCCCAGATGTTCCAGCTGTGGCGTGTGTTTCTGTGCTTCGCCGAACTGCGAGTCTGTGGGTACGCTTCACTGTGAAGCGGATGCAGAAGCAGTAACCGCAGGGCAGGAAGAGCTGCTCGGCGCTGGGAGCCTGGAGCAGTTTCCATACGGTTCCCGAGAAGCAGCACCTGCAGCCCTGTCTGGGGGCACAGCGAAGCACGGCCCCATCCGACTGAATGAATGTGCTGACGATAATCGAAGGTGATCAGAAAAGCAGAGGTGCTCAAGCAATGGAAACATTTCATATGTCATCAGATCACAAGTCACAGAAGAATGATCCACTGAAAAAGCTCTCCTGAAAGCCAACACTTTTAAATTCCTCTTGGAATCCCACAGGCAGCTGTTCAGATCAGAGGGAGAGCTTGCTCCTCAAGGCTTGTATTTCTGTACACACAAAGTTTATTCAGTGCAATTCCACCGAAATAGAGGAAACTGCATAGTAGGTAAATTTGGACCAGAGCTTGGGTTTTAGTGTATTAAAAAGATTTTTATTTGCTCTGTTTTGCCAAATAGAAAAAAGCCTGTGCCATGCTACAAGCATAACTTCAAGCTAAATACTTTGTGGTTTTACTATTACTACCCTCCGGAGACAGTAACAGCTCCTCTGTGAAGTGTAACACTGAGAAGGAAAAGAGAACATGTTCCCCAAAACAGATCAGTGTGGAAGCAACCCACAACAGAGAATATAAATTCCATCACTAAATGCAAGTCCGAAACAACAGATATTACTATTATTATTATGCTGCTCCTTCAGTCTGGCTCTGCTGCCTCTGAAGCAGCGATGGGAGCTTATATTGTTAGCGTACACAGCAGAGTCCTTGCTGAACAGCTATAAGCCTCTAAAATGCATTTGTGAGCTGCTGAACATAGATCACCTAACTTGCTGCCTTGCTACAGACCATCCATTTGCACAGCCTGTTGGGGGGACTTCTCTTCAGCGCTCGCAGACGGGAGCGTGCCGCCTCTTGAGGCACAGAGCTCGATTTGCCGGTACTCTGGCTTTTCCTTGGAGGTCTCCCAACCAAGAGCTGACCCAGCCCAACCGTGTTTTAGCTTGGAAATTTGAAAAGAGCACAGGCTGCAGTTGTATGGCTGGTGTATTGCAAACTAATTAACATTACGTTACTTATCCACTGTTAATATTTTTGAGGCTCTCGCTACAGATACCTTTTTTGCATACTTAGATTACCTTCAGGCTGCTTGCTATCCTCTTGATGCATTCTACTTTTACAAATACCCTTTGAATATAAAAGCCCTTTCTGAAGCAACATTCGTGTTTCATGCACATGCTGAATTCTCCACCATTCTCTGCTGGCTCTTTTGCGCTGTGCAGACAAAGAGAAGAATAAAGCACACCAGGTACATAAGCAGGAGTAATGCAGGGATGACCATCTAGGTGGTCAGGGAGAAAGGTTTGACAAAGAGGAGACAATATCCTCAGAATCAGCCCCAAGGTGGAAAGTGTCTGGAAGGTATTCTTCCTGTGATATTTCCAACAAGCAGGGTGCTGTGACAGACTGAAGATTTTATTACACCTCCCTTGTACTTTCACCTCCAAATTATCCATTTTGTCCATTGAGCAATAACTTTCAGCATTTTGTTGCCTGAAGTATTCCATTTACAATACACTGTGAGTACTGTGAAAATGTGTCTGTAGAGTGTTTTATTCTTTTTTATTGAAACCATGCAATTGAAGAGTGACAGATTCTAAATATTACTGTCTTCAAAGAGACAGAAACTAGATAAACTTGCTTAAGAAGAGATGACAATGTGTAGAATGATCAGGTTCAGAAAAACTGCAATCCAAGTAAATTTTGGCTAGCCTTCTAGGATGCTAGTTGAGCTCTGTTTAGAGCTAAACCAGCAGAAACTCATATGGAAGACTGTACCCGCCTCCAATTTCTTCAAATACGTACTACCAAGTCAAACAAGTGCTGGTTCTGCAACCCAGCAGGTGTTAATTTTCTCCATATGTTTTGGAAATGATTCTGTATCTGTTCTTGCTAGAAAGAAATTAATCACAGTATTTTTTTTTTTCCAACCAAGCAAGAATGCATTACAGATGAACCACGCCACTTTATGCCTGATAGGTGTTGAACATATGCTGAATAAAAAGGAAAACTTAGCCTCAGCAGAATGATAATGCAGCAAAGACTGCCTTGCCACAGTTGTCGTTCTCCATGAGGTTACCAACAACTGAAGACTGGAAGATGAATGTGCCAGAGCTTGGCTTTCACAGAAGTACAATTATAGTCTGGAAAGACACAAAGCTGGGTTTTCAAAGACCTGTCTGAGTAAGTATCTGATCAGGTTTCTTAAATGTTTGAGTTCCGCTTGATTTCCCCTCTTCTCCTGAACATCTACCACTTGACTACTACTCTTTCCACTTGGTCCTTCTTTTTCCTTTTAGAGATTTTATACTTCTTCACTTTTTCCTTATAACTCTGTATGGTTTTCTTTAGTCTATTATTCCTCTACATAGCCCCAGAAAAGTATTAACCTCAATATTAACTTCTTTTCGTAGCTGGCTGATTAATTCAGTTAAAGGATTAACATAGCAGAAGAATGGCCATACTGCATCAGACCAAAGGTCCACATCCAGCCCACAGGTTAAGAACAGAAATAAAGTGCAAGTTAACAGGCTGTTCCATTTGCAATGCCAGCTCCGAAACGCCCTTCTACAAACAGTCGGTCGGTATCCTACCAGTTTCACAAATTGCAGATTATGTCTAGAAGTATATCTAGTGTTTCTGGGCAGTCCCTTCTTTAACTGTAATTTTTATTTTTAAACCCATCCATACCTACTGCCTCATCTTGTAGTAATAAGATGCTCTGTAAGAGAAATCATATGAAGAAATGAGCGTACCTGCATATAGATTGGTAATACCGTACACTTTCAATTAAGATGAACTCCAAGAACGAAGGCTTTGTGTTGCAAAGCATTTGTGCTAATATGTTTATTTTGCTACATTATCCTTTAATCGAGCTTCGGAAAAAAGGTAATGCACTATAAAATGAATGTCACGACTAAAAGACATAAACACAAAAAGACAAGAAAGAAAGCAAAGAAGACAACGGGAACCTTACCTCTGATGTCAGCGGCTGGCCATTTTTTAACCAACTGTAGGAAGGGTTTGGCTTTCCTTTTGCCTTACATTCCCAAACTAAACTGTCATAGAGAGACAGAAAGGCATTTTGGATTTTTTTATCCCATTCAGGGAGTGCTGAAAAGAATACGCAAACCATTTTAAGCGGGAGAAAAATTGTTTCGCTGGAGGTATGCTACCTTTAATTAATGAACTGAGCAAGGCTAATTAGTATTTGTCCAACACATTCTTATTATAGTGCAGGTGAATTCTGCATGTTTCCCTGACAAAAAACTTCAGGAATAACTTGGAAATATGTTAGAGATCAAGTGGCTAGTGGACAGGAAGTTCATTTCAGATATTATTAATTTTTATGGCCAAAATGTGCAAAAGTACTGATTTTTATATGCCTGAAATTGTGGACACACTCTCTGAAAGCATCGAGACCCCTACTCTCAAGGTGCTTGGATCTGTGTACCAAAAACAGAGATGTAAAAATAATTAGTATCTAACAAAAATAATGGATTGTAAATATTACCCCTCTGTTTTACTCACGTAGCTGAGACTGTGGGTTCTTTGTAATTTACAATACATATATTACACAAAGGATTTAAGGCTACTCAGATTAGAATAACACCTCCTGAATACTTGTGGCACATTGACATAAATTCATTGCTGCATAAAAGCAGAATTTGCAGGAATCATTTATGAGCTCTGTAAGCATCCAACTAAGCACTCAAGGACTGAGCTGAGTAGGAGTTAGGTTGAGCAAGGCTGACATTTAGAATAGTTGGCGAGGTGTGGGTGACTATGAGACCTAGGGAGAACAACTATCACCCACCTTACTTTGGGATAGACTAAAGCCAGATGGAAGTGAGATACTAGACTGCATCCCTCTGCCCCTAGCATAAGTGGCTGGTGTCCTAACATCCTGTGAAAAAATTTTGGCTGAGTTATTAAACCATAATTTAATAGATAGATATTATCTATTAATAATCTATTATCATAGGCTAGATATTAGGAAGAAATTCTTCACCATCAGGGTGGTGAGGCACTGGAACAGGTTGCCCAGAGAAGCTGTGGATGCCCCTTACTTGGAAGTGTTCAAGGCCACGCTGGATCGAGCTCTGAGCAACCTGGTCTAGAGGAAGATGTCCCTGCTCACGGCAGGGGGGTTGGAACCAGATGATCTTTAGGGTCCCTTTCAACCCTTACCATTCTATACATCTATGTATATACAGATATATACATGTAGTTCTTACATAGAGCAATTTGATTTTAGGAGGAGAATTATTATCCTTTGAGATGAGCAGATCAAGCTACTGAAAAGCCTCCCTCTACAGCATGACCCTGTGGGTAGCTTATGACTGCCCCAACAAAGTACCTCGAGGCTGTCCAACATTAGATTAACCCAAAGTCAATGAGCCTCTTCCCAGAATGGGAAAGTATCTGGCATACATCTCACCATGCTTAAAAGTGATTGTAACTACGTCATTTTTATCTCTCTCAGAGCCTAAGGCATGGGATGTAGGTACCACGCGCAAACCAGCAGCCAGTGTCCAGGAAAGAATCCCTATTTCCTAGAGACAAGCTGCCTACAGAGCAAAACCACTGCAGCACAGAAATTAAGCAAGAAGAAGTCAACTATATAGATAATACACCAGCCCACTCCTGATATGATAAAAAAATCATGTGCAAAAGCTTAATGAGTGTTGTTTATGTATTTCACTATGAACAGCTATTAATTAATTTACAAAACACATTTAATAAGTACATTGTTTTAGATTGTATTAACTGATCATCATTTTGTAATTGTCTATGCTGTTATAAATCATGTCCAGGTAATCTGCTGAACTTAATTTTAATGGAACTGCTTGATTGATGTTCAGCAAAAATTAGTGAGCAACGAGACCAAAAATAACTCCCTAAAAGCAAAGAAATAATTAAATATTCAAAACAGCAGCAGACTGCTCTATTCCTGGCACATATCTCGGTATTAGCCATGGCTGCGGGAGTCTGGTAGCTTATTAGCAAAGCCTGTGTCTCTTCGTTAGAAAAGATCTACTCACAAAAACCCCAAACTTGCCAAGGTCTTCTCAACAGATGTTAATTGAAGGCTCAGTTTAGCTTTCTGTAATTTTTTTCCTTACTGTTACATTTCACTTTTTTTCCCTCCTCTTTTGAAAGATTTATGCAGTAAAGAGAAGAAAAGATCTCCCTTCTTATTAATGTCAAAATATGTTGCTTTCCCTGGGTGTTCACAACGAGACTAGAGAACTTATAATTCACCTTGGCTATGAGGGACCATCGTGTGTGACTTGGGTCACAGGAAATTAATGCGTGTGGGAAGGGAAAAGGAACCAGAGAAGAATTTCACAGAAATATTATTCTCCACTTTTAGACAAGGAGGAGGGAGAGGGAGGCAGTGGAATGAGTTTCCCCGCTTTGCCCTCATCTGTTTACGGAGCAATACAGTTCAGCCAGAATAGGAGGTGAAATAATCTTACACTCACACGAAGTAAAACCTCGTGAATCCTGCCCTGATCTGCACCTAGGGCAGCACAGCTCTGTGCTGCTGTGAGCTACTGAGAGTAAATCTTTTTGCCTGCCCTTAATGTTTCATGTAAATGCACCAGAGATTTCTTTCTGCCTCATATTAACCTTTACAGCTTCATCATGGCACAGCCCACATTTTCAATCTGCGTTTTAATGCAAAATACCTTTATTTGCTGAGGAGGTAATTCAGTGAAGGTCACGGCAGACCTCCAATCATTTTTTAATCAGCTTAATCTGAACTACATTCTGTATCTCCAGTAACGGGCTGACAGACTTCATCTACAAAACACATCTGAACACCATCACGCTCTGTAAAAAAAAATAAATTAAGATGTTAATCAATGTGCTTACCATACACAAATAATCGACCTCTTGCAATGTTTCTTCCTCGAACGTTTCCTGCAATACACTCATAAGAGCCTTCATCTTCTTGCTGAACATCTGGGATTTCAAGCACTCCTTTGGTTTTGTTGTGTTCTATTTTCTTTGTCAATGGGTTTCCATCAGACCTCTTCCAGCTAATGCTAGGGACAGGACTAAATAATGATATTTCAACAGAGAGAAAGAGACAGTGTTTGTTATAGCTAAGAAAAGATAACATGATATCCTTTCAGAAGACGAATAATACTAAAAAAAAAAAAATTTCTGTTTCTAAGCATGACATACAGAGGTCTATAAGACTGAGATTTAGGGGCACAAGTCTAACAATGGGATGAAGTCCTCGGTCAATTCTATGATTGCTTCTTAGGCCAATTTGGATTTTCCCTGCAAAAACTCTCACTTAGGGCTCAAACCTGCTTTTAAGCACTGTGACACTGAAGGAATGACTTTGGAAGTCCAAATAAACACCACAGAAGCACTGAATTATTGACTGGTTTTCAGAGCAAACAAATTCCCTGTAGCATTAGAGGTATTTCACACCTCAATATAGAAAATATTGGACAAGAATTCAAAGGACCTAAAAATACCAATAAATCTAGCTATAAAAAATGTGAGCCAGGGTAGAGGAGGGAAGACAGGCAGTTGAGCGATGAAGTGGAAAGCATGAGACATTGCGGCTGAAAGGAGATAGAGACAAAACAGAATATTTCTTGTTTCATGTTTTTGTAGCTTGCGATCATTTTCATTTATATTTGGATCAATGTATTCTATACAATAAAAAAATAGTCAAGTGTGACAGCGGCTATAAATACTTCTTGGATTTCTGGTAATATCACAAAACATACAAGCCTCACTTTCATGATCTATTATGTCACTGAAACACTTTGAAATATTAATAGTCTTGGATTTCACAGTTGCTTTCTGTTTCTGCAAACTAAAATAAGCTGCTTTTTCTAAGCAGATGAGCAGCTACGTTTTGAACAGCTCTTTACAGACGCTTTGGCTAAACGCTGACTTCTTTTCCATTGGAAGCAACATCAACAGCAAAGACTGGATACTGAACTTGAAAACACAGCTTTCCTGAAAACTGAAAATGCATGTTGCCCTTGTCTGCCAGTCCCCAAGGTCTCTGGCCTGCAGTGCTGACTTCCAAAGTATTTATTCCTTTTTTAGCAGAGGTTATAACACCTTAAATTTCTCACACTTAAACACCTTAAATTACTTAGGTGCTTGGTTTCAAATCCTTGTTCATTGACCAAAGAAATCAAGTCACAAATACAGAATGGAAGAATTGTTTAACACAGGTAAGTTTAGGCCTAATTTCTGCATTTTGGGTCTGTGTGGCTATGATGTTTGCAAGTTCCCCCAAAGCCAGAAGAACCAGGACCTGGGAGAAGTGTGAGTGCTCAGCAAATTACATGGATTGAACAGCTGGGCAGGTGTTGACAGAGTAACCAGAGACATAAAACCAAGAGAAATAGACTACGTGCAGGAGAATTTACAGCTAGACCACTCCAATATACAATGAAGAACCACCCCACAAATTTGCTTAGTTCTGCATTTAACTTGAAAAATAGGATGGGTGCACTGGCAGTCTGTAAATATTCTCCTCGTGCTGGTGGGAGTTCAGCTAAGCAAGAGAGCCTTCACGCTGCCCTTCCCACTGCTCTGTAAAACAGGAAGTCATGCTCCCGAGACCAGAAATTTAACCAAGGGCTCTCTAAGAGCCATTCAAGCAGCATAATAATTTCTCTAGCTACCTTACATTTTCCACCATAACTGAACTGCCTGTGAAAATGGTTTGGAACTATAAGCAGTTTGGTCCAGATTTTGGTGTTAGCTCTGCACTGGCATGTATATACGTATGGACAACTCATATATACATACAAACACAAGTTCTGGCTCTTACATGACCCCTCCAATACAGCTGAAATATTTACTATGAATGAGAGACTGGGACATGCCAGACATCCTTCACCAGTGAAAGAGCTGAAAAGAACAAAGATTTTTTTCTTCTGTTTCCTATTTTGGTTCAAGACCTACATAGTTGTTCAAATTCCAGATGTTTTTGGACAACAGTAGTTGTCCTCACCACATTTACCCTCTGCTATGAGACCAAAACCTATTTCAGATGCAAACTTCTTTAATATTATTCCTTCCCAGGAACTTTAAAAGGGCTTGTCTGTTTTTCCCAAATGAGTTGGTTTGTCTGTTAAAAGGTGCTGTCTCCACGAAGATTGCATGACATTATTCATGCAGCGTTTCAATAAACAAAGTTAGTTATTTAAAAGAAATGCAGCTCTAGTGCAGAATAGGTCTGCCCCACGATTGCCATGCCCTAGTCAGGAAAACAGCCGGAGGTATGATGCAGTCTTGGGGTAGATTGATACAGACTGTTGATGACACGAAGGAGAGCACAGCTGACTTCAAACGCTGTTGCATATTAAACAGTGGGTGAATAGCTACTGTACAGCAGAAGCACGCAGTACATTGAATGTCAGAAGCATTTAACTACTTACTTTAAAGGCATCTTTTCTTCTGGATTTTTTTTTTTAACAAAGAGATTAAAGAAAACTAACAGCCATATGGGAGACGAAAAACAACAATTAGATGCATTCATTCATGCTCTGCTACCTGAAACTGCTTCACCTAAATATCTCCTAGTCTATTAGCCACTTGTTTTCTCTTAGTACTGACTATTCATGAGTAGGGAAAATCTGCACTGACATCAAGGCCAGAGGCAGGGCTCTGTGGAAAAAGGCCCCGTCTGTCAACTTGTCAAGTCAAGTTTACCAAGGTTCGAGCTGAAGACGCTGTCCTGTTTTCCTCATCCACACCGCATACTTGTAATGACATCCTTGGGGATGTTTCAAGGCAAACTTGCCTCAGTTTTGGCCAAACACAAGGGTGTTTGAGATGCACTCCCTCCCTCTGATGTTAACCATAGCAGGATGACATAAAAACCTCAGAGTAGGTTCATCAACTTTGCTGTGTTTAAATGCCTAATTGCAATAAATACTTAACAGCACTTTGTTCTGCTGCCAGGAAGCCTTGTGCCACATGGCCTAGTTTTGTCAGCAGAGGGAATTCAGTTGTCAGGCCAGCAGCTTCTCTTCAGCCTGAGCTGTAGGTTGAACGAGCAGACTGCGGGAGGATGCATAGCTCAGCCATGTGCATAGGAAGGACCTTTGTTATCACAGCAGCTTGAGAAGATGTGCATTTCTTCATCGCCTTTTCTGACACCTCATTATCATTGGCTTTCCAGCATCTTCAGTCACATATTTTACAGAAGGCGGGGGGTTTTTTGCTTGTTTCCCCTTATTCTGTTGCTAGTTTACATTTTTATAACCAAATCTCTTAACAGCAATCATTAGCACAGGCCATATGAAACCTTTCAAGGTAAAAGACGACCCTGAATTCAAGTGTAAAAGTTTCTTTAATGAAATCGGGTTCTGTGACAAATTACCTATTTTACAAGTCGATGCTTTAAGAAGTGAAACTGTCCTTTAGGTATAGGTAAATGTATACAAACCCTAATTTAATAAATACAGCCCTGTGAATTATTGTCGGATTTTGTTGCATAGTCGTAATATATTGAAGGCCAATGTCACACAGTGCTACACAGACTAATACCTTCCCATGCAGATTTGAGGTGTTCCTACAACTGGTGGGTCGTCTTTTCCATTTAGTCACTACAAATAACCAGATTAAAACAGACAGCTGCTCGGGGCTAAAAAGTTTTGGAATATATGAAGAAACAAAGAGTACACTTTCAAATTTATTACACTTCATAGACAAAGTCTTGCTTTCACCTGAGTAAATAAGAAAACAGCGCATAAATATGAGTGTCTTTGTACATAAATCTGGAGTTTATTTGAAACCTTCAGAGCATCTAGGAGTGCTAATTTAATTTATATTCTACCATACAGGCGGCAGAACCACAAAACCATAAGTTAGTAACTCAGAAAGAAAAGCCGATGGAAAATATTTTTGTTGGTGACAAGTCTTGTCACACTGAACATGAAATTAATTTGTCTGCAGCACTGCAGCCTGCACCAAGATGAGGGTTCCACCTTTTTTCAACAAAGACTCAGCAGCCAGATGATCCATTGCATCTGTGCCTCATCTTTTGTCCTGTGCATCTTCACCACAAAATTAAATCTACAGCTTCAGTAATGACGACCATGACTAGTTAAACGAGACAAAGCTGAGGTTTGAAAGCTGCTAGCATGTCCGCGTCAACTGCTGACACAAGGAAGAATTAGGATCCAAGGGGCATCCTAACTAAAGCACTCGGGCATCTGATCATCCCAATGTGTTACTTGGGAAACAGCAAAGAAGCAAAGATTTCTGAAACCTGGTATTGTGTCTCATTCTCCTGTGGTCACAAGCCACTCACCTTAACCAATGTAAGAGAGGATCTTCCACAGCTGCTTGCTCATCCCTTAAAGTAGAAATCTGAATGTATTAGCTCTATCAGGAACACGGGCTGAAAATAGCAAACTTCACTTGTGGTGGCAGAAGTCATTCATATATGTTTATATGATTTCAGAATCCCATAAATGATCCTTTTATAGCCTCCTTCATAAACTCCTTGAGAATACATGAGAAAAGCCATCTAATGAAGAAGTGAAGCCTGGTATTTTTATGCAAGTTTACTAAAGATGGTTGTTCAGAATCCTCTCGTAGCTGTGCTATTATCTACTTATACTAACAGTCTCTAGAAAAACCCTTCCCTGAATACATTTACAGGAATATGTGGGGTCTTCCCATGAAAAATGAATATTCTGGGTTGAAAGAAATCCTATTTTATGTTACTCACATACGCTCCGTACAACCTCATCTGGCAATGGCCCATCTGCAGGGATTCTGAACAGATTATTTCTCTATCTTTGAGAAGACAATGAAGAAAAATGTAAAATACAGGAACAGTTTAATAAATGCGTGCACCAGACATGGAAACTACTTCGCTTATGTTCATTTCAGAAGCTATTCTTATATGTGCAACAGCAAAAAGTTATTTTGGAAGAAATCAAGAGGAAGCAGTACAGTAACTCAACCGAACATATCTTTTCATGGTACTTAATCCCCTCAAAGACATAGTGGACGATAATTTAGAGGTATGGCATGATTAATATAACTTGATCCAGAACATGACTTATAGTACTGGCATAGTATTAAACACTGTCAACATAATGAATATTAGTGTAGAACACAAAGTCTCATCTCTCCTATTATTTTGCCACAGGCTGCAGTATGTGAAACAGTCAAGCTACTATTTCATATTTCAGTTTTCCCTCTTTTAAAGAATTAAGTATAATGCGCATGTTTTACCTGTTTAGATTCGCCATGCCAATCATCAGATAGTATCATGCTGCTTACATTCCTTTGTGCCCAACTGTGTTTCCATCACATTGAGGACTAATTTACTTTTTGAAAACTTCTCTAGTATTCATAGTCCCTGTTCTGTAATACAGGATTCAGAGTTAAGCACTGGCCCAAGTGCTTTTGTCCGTTTGGGATCCATCCCTCCAAACCCTCTTCCCAGGAATAAATACTGACTTTTTGCCCCTTGTATTTGTTTTCCTCAAAACAAGCAAGGTGGAACATACCTGCCTCTGGGTGTCCCCCAGCCTGGCTGAAGGGGTACTTCTTAGCTGGGTGGCTTTTAGTTTACCTCAGGTAAAAAGGCATCTCAAAACTCAGCCATAAGTCTGGCCTCTTGTACTCACATTTTAAATGTGGAAATGCTTTTTGAGCAAGGTCCAATAGGTATGATTTGCTGTTCCATATAGAAAAGAGATGCTATTTCTCTAAACACCATGAAAGTACTTTCATTTAAGACTTTCAGAGACCAAAACCACAGCAGGTTGCCTATAATCTGCCTTCAATGTGAAAGATTTCTGTTATTCATAGCGCAGAGGTAGTAGCAGCTGACAGCATTGTCTGAACCAGTGGACTAACAGTATGAATATAGAAAATTATGGATAATGGGAAAGCAGTTCTGAAATCCAAGAGAGATAATGACCGTTAGTGCTTGTGGCAGATCAGAGGTATAGCTCAACAAATGTTGAGCTGAATTGATTTTAACATAAACAGACAATAGTAGCGGCTAGAGTTTTAGTGGAATTTAGGCATCTAAAGGTGCAGATGGCCACACTGCTGCATTTACATGTGCCTAGCTACAATGGTAAACAGCTGGAGGTAGGAAACTTCAAGCTTTTAACAATACCACTAATCATCTACATACCTTTAGAAATCTGGCCTTATCTAATAAGTTAAGAGTATTGCACCTGCAATCTGTTTCTCTTGCTTTATTCACATAGAAGTGCCAGCTCTTAAATAAAGCCTGTTCACTGATTGACATGTTAGTGAAAATATGGTTCAAGGGTCTGTTCAGAGAGAAAAAAAGCAGACTGAAAATAGTCCTGTTCTGTATGAGACATCCAATCTATCAAAAGAATTCTAGAGACAAGAAATTCTCCAGCAAAGCCAGTAACGAACCTTTACTCAAATAGCACCTCTCAAACACATACACTAAACTAGATGCACATTAGAAGTATGATATAAAAATTGCGAAGAAAGGATTTCTGCATATAGATCACTGGTATTTACTCAGTATAACCCCAGGGAAGTATAGGAGGACCGGTTTCAGCTGCAGTCCTACATACGAAGAAGAAACCTTGTATTAAAGCTGCATTAACATTCTCAGCCATTCCATTTTCTAAGCACAGCATAGAAGGTACTGTGCTCGCTGAGGGATTTCATTATCCATATGTCCTTTCAGTCCATCTTTTTTTTCCTCTGTCAGATGTTCCTAATGGCAAAACCCATGTGCCACATTCACACAACCCATCTTCATCCCTTCAGTAAGAAGGCACTGTTTTGTACATACCATTTACTCGGCCTTTGAAATGCTTTTCTGCAGTCAATGTATCATTGTTAAATGCTTTCCATGCAACAGATGGAAATACAAAATGACAACTTGAAATGTAAAGCCTGCACTGACTCACACACAATTAGTGTTCCAGTCTGGTACTTGTTTTGGGCCAAAAAAATGCATGCGCCTTTGAATATGTCTCTGTAGAAATATTCTTCATCCTTAAATAAAAATTATCTCTAAGATTAGTTTATATAAAAATCTCATTTGAAAGGGAAGGCCATTTCCCATCTTATTAACTTTTTATTTGCTTTAGTTTTCTATATCCCAGCGTAGGTTCCAGAGGAACATTTGATTAATTTGTGCTGTCTGCAAGTCAGGCTTTTAACCTCTGGGAAAGCTCTAAACACTTTAAAAGCTTACAGCCTTAAAATGGATTGTCAAAGTGAACTTAAACTAAATAGAGGTCAGCAATCTAAGGTTATTTTAGCTTTTCCAGGGAAAATGGATGTTAATTGGAAAGACTAATTTTCGTAGGCTGGTTACGCTTACTCAGTTAACTATCTGCTCTTTGAATGCAGAGCATCCCTTGCTGTTTGGATGCACTACTACTTCTGGAAGTGAATACAACAGAGTGAGCAACCTAGGAAAAATATAGGCTACTGCAAGCCTAACAGATTTGTACATTTTAGCAGGAAAGGCTACTGCTACGGCTGCCCAGGGCTCCTCAGCTTCTGTTTGAAGAAACAGTGGTGAGCACCATGAGAAATCTGTTAGATCCATTCTAGACAGTCTATGCGCTCTTGAAACACAGATGGTTTCCCTAAGTTTCATTCTTCGCAATGACCCCGCACAGCAGAATCCACCTGTTCTGACGCAGACCGGATGTGAATGTGCAGTTACACCAAATGCTGTAACCTGAAGTCAGGTCTCAGCCCAGAGTTAAAACTACGTTCAAGGAATACAGTCTTTGTTCTGGTTTTCCCCCCCTTCCCCAGCCCCTGCAGGCTGCAACCAAGCGAGCTTCGGTTGTGGTACGGTTTTCTGTCTCATTTCCTTAGGAACACATTACACACAAACAATCAAACAAAGAAAAGGTTAAAAAAAAATATGTTTTACAAATTCACATTCTGACCAATGAAGTCTGCTGTGAAAATTAGAAAGATCCATTGTTTCTCATTACAGAACAGACTTAGAACCTACATATTTTAATAAAAGACAAAAAAATCTTACTTTCCAAGGGCAAAGCATTCCAGTTTAACAGACGAGCCCTTCGCTGCATATGTAGTTTCTGGAAAACGTACTTCGATCTTTGGTTCATACTCCCCCATCACACCTGTTGAACATCAAAACAGCTAGCACTCCAGTTGAGCCTCAGACCTGCCTAGTACAACAGAATTTCAGTGTAAACGAAAGGATGGCATTAATCACGTTAGAGGCTTGTGTTCTAGCCATGGCCATCAACATATGATGTCTACGGAGCAGGCTTAGCCTGCTGGGCGAAATTCAACCCCACACTGAAAGCTTCTGTGAAATCTGTAAGTTCTATGCATGAGCATTGAAGATCATGACTTTATACAAGTTCTGCATGTACAAGTATGTAAAGTTTCTTAAAATATCCAAATGTGAGCTCCAGACTTGAGAAAGGCTGAAGTAATTAGATGTAATGATCACATTTGAAAATCTGGCTGAACATCTGATAAACCACAGATAATCCATTATCAGTTTAGGGCAGATCCCACACTGAAAATGAACTGATTCTTATTGTATATTTAACAGGGATCTGGCTACTATTACACACACAATTTGCACCATTGCCTTGGAGGCTGCCCATTCAGGACCCAATCCAGAGGCCACCAAAATGAATGGGAGAAGATAAAAAGAGACTGGTAGAACAAGTCTTAGAAAAGGAATAAAGTAGGGGGATGAAAAGGAAGAAAATGGTCAGAAAAGATCTTAAGCAATTACACTCCCAGTTTGTACCAAATTATTAACTTTTGGCCTGTAGAACTAGAACTTTGTTTTGGGTGATCTGAGTGAATATGTTATAAAACAACAAAGTCTCACAGTGAAAGTGTCATTCTATAATGCACGCTTGAGTTTTGTTTATCTAAGAAACACAACTCCATACAGACTTCTGTTACCGACTGCCACCACTGCTTTGCAAACAGTACCAGCATATTGAAATTTAGGTGAACAAACTTAGAAAAAAAAACCTCTGTGTAGAGATTTCCCAGGTATATATTTCTCACTGTGAACATTTAATTAGAAGTGTTGCCAGAAAGGTATTTGCATATGTGCGGGTGAGATTCTCACCTCCATGACTCACTTTGAAACAGCTTTCTAGATGTGATATTTGAGCAATACCCAGATTATAAATTTAGAAAGCTTTGCTGGATTTAAACCTCAACACAGACATTCCTAAGACAAACAACTTCAAGGTACCATTTGACATTCTCTTGCTATTTTTCAATGATATTGATCACTGTTTTCTTTGCATAAGTTTATCTCCTCTTTCCCATCTCAACAGTTCAAATGTCATTTCAAACTAACAGAAACTGTGCGATCATGCCCCAGTGCACAGCTTTTTACTGGGAGCCTTTTCCCACCCTCCATGACGATGTATAGCCGTACCAGTTTCCAATAACCGGAGGTGGAGCAGCGAGCGTTGTGCTGCATGTCTTCAGCCAAGCACACCCAGAGAACTCACCGTCACTGCGGAGGCGGAGAGGAGTGGGTGGCCCCTGCACGCTCTGCTCTGCTTTAGGGTTAGTCACAACGCAGGTGTAATTGCCCACATCTGATGGCTCCACTTTGGCAATGTACAGATTCCCCGTTTCTTGTGAAACAAAGCGGCGACTATCTTCCTGAACATATAATGTATTATTGTTGAAGACCCAGGTGTAGGACAAGCCTAGAAAACACCAGATACGCATCATGCATCTGTGCCAGTATCATCTGCTTCCTGTTAGTGCTGAAGTGCAATATTGCCAGTTGGAAGAACAAGTCAGTTACAGGGCAAACCACTGGGGATGCACAAATTAGCAACAGTGAGGTAAGCGTTGCTTTAGTTTTAAACTCATTTCAAGCCACTTCAGAAGGTCACAAAAGTTTTTGTCCCCTGCTACTTTTCATTTTCCTGCTTTGCCTATTTTGAAGTAGGAATGGCAGCACTGCAATGCCATGAGAAAGCTGTTTTAGTAAATAATTTCTGTTTATAACTTTCCCTCTGAACATCCAGAGACCAAATTAATGGTCAGTGTTACAGCTCCTTTTTTTCACTCCGAATACAGAAAAATGAAGCAGGTAACACAGAGCTTTATCATCAGTGTCTCATGAAGAGGGGAGCTCAGCTGCACACAAACATTTTGGAGATTACTTAATATTTGATTCTATTGCACATTTGACCCTTATCTTCCGTCCTTACATCTGCTCTGTGCTTCTTGTCTTATTCTGACTTCCTAACCCTTTTCTGCTATCTTTTGCCATACAGTGTTTCACAATGCATACCGTAGTAATACATGTCTATAGTCTGGACAACTTAAAATCTATTTGACTAGCCCATCCTAGGAGGGCAGATCTCCACACGAGCTTACCATTCAAGGTCCCTGATTTTTGAGGGGTGTTTTGGCTGCTATCAGTACCATAGTGAGCAGGTTCAGTGCTTATAACACAGCAAGACATCCCACCAGCCTCATGCTGCGGCTGCTCCACATGGCTGCCGGCACCCAACAGCGGGAGCAGGACTAAAATTCTGTCATTAATAAGGCACAGTAAATCAGAAGTTTCAAAATCTACCAGTTTAGCTTTCCTTAATTAAATGTATAATTCATAAGCTAACAGTGTTCTGCCAACAGCTTCATTTTCACACATTTCCCCCATCAACAATCCCATTTGAAAAAGATTATTTATGTTTCTTTCTCCCCCTCAGTTACAACATGGGTACAGTATGGTAATAAGTCTGCAAACTCCAGTAGTTTTGTGGAATTTTATGTTATCATCTTCTAAGATTTTAGGACTCTCATTAGAAATGACGCATCTCCAGGGAGCAATCAATGACACTTTCTCTGCTCGGCTAAATCCTGCAATAGGCTCTGTTTTACTGCAGCTTAATGCTTAGCTTTTTTCTGAGGTGCAGTAAACCTAGACGATGCAACAATTCCCAAAATAGCCTAATACTACACGTGTGTGTACATATACACGTGCGTGCACACAAAAGCACCATGTTTACACTTCTGCATGCCCATATACTTTTAGGTACCCAGCTAAAGCATCTATTTACAGAAGAAAATCTGGACATGGGTGGGCTTTTCCACAGGGAGGATCAGCCTGTAACTAGGTGTAAGCAATGTAGCCCTGAACCACTATGTCTTCCAGAGACATACTATATATGGACTATGTTCCTGCCTCGGGCACTAAGTTTGAGGACAATATTCTGGCTGGACAAACAGATCGAAGTGACTGGTGTGGGCAAAACTCTGGTTTCCACTCATATTTTGAAGTTCCCTAGACTGTAAGTTAGGGACTGTTAAGAAAATGCTGAAGATTTGCAGGGTAAATACTTTAATCTATGTTCAATTAAACAATGTTTTAAACTTGGGATTTCTGTGGAAGAAATACCTTGGATCTGCAATCTCCTCAGATTTCACAAGGCCACCTGAGGGCTGGTGTCCTGAAGTCCCTTTTGTGATGGCTGGGACCCTTGCTTTCCTCCTCACACAGACCTATGCAAAGGCACATATGGGTTTACGTGCAACAAAGCCGCTCTGAGGTTGAACCAGCAACAGCTGGGTGCATAGACTTTTGTGAAAGGTTCATGTATCTAACAACAAACTGGAGGTAGTTTAAAAAGTGAGATAAATACGAAAAATGAGTATGGAGGTTCCCTTCCCAAAGTCCAGTTCTGGTGCTGGCAATTACAGGGCTGAAGAAAGCCCTGACTCACTCTAACCGGGTACCACCGTACCTGCTAACGCACCCAATGGATGCCCATGAAGCACCTCCAAGCCATCTTCTGGCATGCAATCAAAAACAGATTCGTGCTGTAGGACCTGGTGATGCAACTAAATATCCTGTGTAGGATAAAGTATACGAATTCTAACAAAACTCTACTGAAACCAACTTTATGCTACACAGACATTCTTCATGAGGTCAATCTGTGAATTAATTCATCATTAAAGGAGAGCCAGTCCTTGTCTGTCCTGATTTCAGTTCTCAGGGGGTTCCAGATGACTTTCTCTTCCGAAGTTTCTGTTACTCTCTCCCTGACTGCACTCCACCATTGCCTTAGGGCCTATTGATGAATTTTCCTATTAACTGGGAACAAATGAAGGCCTGTCCTTTTCATATTTAAATCCTTTTTCCCTCCAGTATGAGCCATATAAACACTACCGCTCCTCTAACTGCAGGTTCATCATCACCAATCCGCAGGCCATACTTGCCTAGAGCCTAATACAGCGCCACTAAACTCCATAGAAATCCTAATTTTAATTGACTTCAATGGGAGTTGGACAAAATCTCAAGAGAAAGGAACCAAACTTTGGAGATCAAAGTTTCATCTCTTCTAAGGCGTAATACCAGCAGTCTACTCTCTTACACAATATCTTTTCTGCAAAAGCGAAGTGACAACAGCAACAGATGGAATAGTCTAGAAAATATAACATTTCATTAAAAAGGAAGCTACTGTTACTTAAACTTTTCCATTTGGGTCACTTTGACTAAATCCAAGGTGGAGCAGACTCACTGAATTAGCAAAAGAAAGCAGTAAAAGGCCCATACTATGACTTCTAGGGTTACATTCATTTGCATGAGTAAATCAGCAGCTGGGAAGAGTCTGGTGAAGGTAACACTGAACAGCAGGTAGTAGAGTCACAGAAAAGAGATTATAAAGAGATAGTAACCTGCTAATGAAGTCTAGCCAAAATGAACTTGAGAATTGCTCTTGCCAGCTATTTCATGGAAGAACAAATAAAGTTACAATTATTTTTTGCTTTATTATTTTGTTTTCCATTTACTCACAGGATTTCTGAAACAGACAGCAGTTGGGATCACACTGCAACATACCTGTGACAGTCTCAGAATTATTGAATTTGAGAGACCACTAAGAAACAGCTTCAGCATAAAAGGCCTTACACAAGTCTTAGCCTTTATCAGCGTCAAAGAATTTTCTGGGCGTTTTTCTTTTGTGCATAGGCCTGTTTGGCTGCAGCTTTCCCTCTGGAGTAACCACTTTCCACACACTGTTGAAGATGAATTAACATTCCTGAAGTAAGGTAATAGAGGTTTTTCTAGACAAGACAAATTAGTCCAGTTTTCTCTTTTTAACTATAGTTAATGTGTGATCTCAGAAAAATAAACACAGGAGGTAAAACTACGTGGTGGGGCAGAAGGGAGACAAGAGGGTGGGAAAGGGATCCCTTGCAGAGAAATGCTCGCTGATCAGAGTGCCACTGTGTGATAAGAAGCTAGCTGGAGTAGTTTCAGCTGAGTCCTTACTCAGTGGTGCTTTAGATACGGACCAAACAAGAAGAAAATGGTCCCAGATTGTTCTGCAGGGGAACAGCTGCAGGCTGGGCTCAGGGAAGAGGCTCAGAGCTGGCAGGAGAGGAATGAAGATTCATAGGAGCACTGAGAAAAAGCAGCAGTGAGAAAGAGACTCTAAACCCATGGCTAGGGTACTAGGCTTTATAAAGGGAGATACAGTCCAAACCGTCACTTTAAGATTATGCATTTTATCAAGTAACTGTTTAATATAAAATGCAGAAACAACCTGAGGCAGAAGACAAAGGCCCTTGTACCTAAGGCAGAACTGCTCCTCCCATCCCTTCCTCTCCATGTACCCAGTTTCCCATCTCCTGCTTTCAAGGGCACCTCCTTCCCCATACTTCTGCTGGCTGAGGATTTGGCATATTCCCCCCCTAAGCAGGTCCACAGGACTTCTACTTCCTTAAGAATGTTTTATTTATCTGAATGTAGCCTTGGTATAGTAATATCACTCAACATCCCAACTTCAAACCCCGGCAGCTCTTGCGCACAAGTAAACGCAAACGCATGAGCGATCCTGCTGCTCCTAACAAGATTAGCAGCTTCCTTAAAGCTCTGCAGGGAGCTAGCTTGAAGGAAACAAGACTTATGGCATACTTCACTTCTAAGAAAATAAACAAATAGCAATTCTTCCTGCAGTCTTGTGTCAAGCATTACTATTTAAGCAGCAGCTTCTTAATCATAGTCAGGTCAAGCTCATACACAGCTATAGAAATGAAGGCTGCTTCCAACTCCCTTCTCTCTACACTCTTTTGTTTATCTCCTAACCCTATACAAAACACTATTTTCTGATAACAAAATATTACCACGTATTGATTACACAGAGAAAAAAAACAGCTAACCTAAAGAACTTAAGCTAAAACAAGACACACCTCTAAGAAACACAGCTTACTTTCCTACCTCTGCACTCCAAAGCCTTGGTACGAAGCAGAAGGAAATCACAGGCTGAACTGTATCAGGTGTGTTAATGAGCCTCAGAAATAGCCACAGCTGAAGCTGGAGAGTGGCTGGGGCATAAATAGGCAGGGAGGGGCAGGGTGAGGTTATGAGGGGTTTAGGTTGGGCTGGGTAGTGGAGGGGGGGAAGTTTGCTGTTGTGTTCTAAAGCTGATTGCAGGTTCTGTTTTTCTTGTTTATTAACTACAGCAAATTTTTAATGTCTTATTTGATCTAAGGTATAAGCTATGCTTTTAAAAAGTGGGAGTGTTTCATTCTTGTATTTAATATTTAAGTACTAATGTTTGTTTATGCTAGTGTAGTTGTGTCTCAGTGTTGTGTGGTGTAGCTTTAACACAACTGCAAGGTTTTTGTTCTCTGAGAGTTAATGTCTAAAGCTGATGTATAAGCTGTTGGATCAATATTTCTGTATCTTTTTCTTCTCTTTTATCACATAAGCGTCTAATGTATTTTATATTGCCTACTACAGTGAAATAACTTTTCTCTTGTATGAGCAAAAAGAGGTTAGAAGTGTAGTCTCAGTTAAGCATGTATACAAAAAAGGAGCAATACAGCTGTTTTTGTCAACTATAACAGAAAACTAAGTTTGGTTACAATTAAACATTAAATATTTTATGTATTCTTTGAATGTAGAAAAGTACTTAAAGCATATGATAAACAGCTGAGTGGCCTAATGTCTGCAGAGCTTGATTTCCTGTGGATCTGGCAGAAAGTTTAACTTCAGACTGTTTGTGGTATAGGTTAGATAAGCTTGGCAATGTGTTAGTCTCTGTACTGGGAGATAGCATGAGTAATAAAATGCTTCTCTAGATAGCAGACATAATAGCAATATTTCTGGAGCTCTCATTCTACTGTCTAATCCCACTTCTTGGTGGTATAAGGTAAGAAATTTTAATTAATAGAGAGTCCTTTTTTTCTTAGGTTCTTGCCCTTCTGTTGCTTTTAGGAATGCTAGAAGCAGATATAGACCTGTTGGGTTAGCAGAAAGGCAGGAGACTTTCACTAGTGCATCCTATGCCAAAATAACTACATTAATGATAGCTGCTTCAGACAACAGCTGGGCAGAGGTTTTCTGTCTTCATTCAGGTTGAAGGAAAACAAAGACAGTAACCATCAGAACTGTGTTCGTCTTCCCTCTATGTGGTGTACGGAGCAGCTCTGGCAAGTGACCTGCCCTGGGGAAAGGAGCAGCTGGGCTATAGGAAGGAGTGCCTGGAGGGCTGTATCCATCTGCTCAGGCTCCCTTTGGTGTTTTGTCAGTGAGATGGATAACATCTTTCCAAGAATGTGGTCAGGATTTTCTATCCAAATGGTTAACCTCAGTTTCCCTTTAAATACTCATACTAGCAAAAAGTCTGCATTGGTTACAGGCTGCATCTCTTAAGTTGGATAGGAAGTACCAATTTCGTTCCTTAGTGTGTTGGACACGCAGTATGGCGTGTATTGTCTTACTCGTGTTAACATTATTGGAAAGTCAACTCTTTTCCTGTTGCTATGGTATGTCTTCAGAATTCCTTGACATTTAATGAATTCCTGTCACATCCAAAGTACTGTACCCAACACTTGTAATGGAAGCTGTATGTAAAGCTAGTAGTCCTTTCTATTGCAGGTATTGTGAGTCAGAGGCAAGGGTTTCAATTAAAAAAATAACTGAATATACAATTCCTATTAATAAAAACAATGTGCTAGGCAGCCTGAGATGGCATACAACTAACACTAGTTCCTACCATGTACTTCAACCCTATGGCGTATAATTTTGGATCATAAGTACAGTGTTTATGGATGATGAAAGAACTCAGTTTCTGTTCTCTAGAGACTTATTTCAGTTAATGTATTTTTCAGGCCTATTGGTCAACAGCTCACATGTCCAGCTTAAGAAACAAAGGCTTTGTTTATGGATACCATTTTGTCAGTTCAATTAATCTGGGGTGAACTCACTTGTTAACTATTTATTTGTTCTGAATGTTTTCTTCTTCTCGTTCCTATTTGTCAAATCATAACTTTACCCTACAGCAAGAGGAAAATATATAGCTTACTGACTTGAGGATGGATGTGTTGTCTTTCTGTCTGTCCCATTGATACATTTCAGGAACTTTCAAGCCTTTTCTGCCCTTAAGGATTGGGTTTCACTTCATCTACTTGATTATATACTTTCATATGGCTGTAAACACTAAGTGAACTGACATTTCCTCTCTGTTCAAGACTTGCGGGCTTTAAATTGATTGATGGGTTTCTCTACATCTTTGATATACTGCATCCTCTTTACAGATCACTATTTACCTTCTCAGGGGAATTTGTCTTATAACTCTGTTTAAGAAGAATTGAGGAAGCATTGCTGAGAGCAGGACGTTGGTGATAGCACACAGACAACTGCAGCTTCTGTGGATGTGTGGTCGCTCCTGTGGAAAGCAGGACGCGAGTCATCTAAAAACTGCTGATTCTTTCAGTCCAGAACAAGACAATTTGGTAACTATGTTACTGATACATCCTTTATTAATATGCATTTGTTTTTCCAGTGTAAAATTTCCAATTGTCTTCAGCTAGTCATGTTAAGAAATCATAGTTCTTACTCTAGACTTCAAAAGATAAGAAGCAGTTTTGATCTGGGTTTTAATACCCCTGGAGGAGATTTGTGAATGTATATAGCTCAGAATTTGCAAGAGTCAATGCTGGGGAAAATAAATCTGGAAAGATCAGTCAGGAGCTTCTCACTTCTGCTGGATACTAAAAGTGTTAAGAAAAACTGACAACACCAGGGTATGTGCATGTTCAAGCCTTTGTATTGCACTGTAAATGCTGATGTTGGAGGTGGTACTATACCTATTAAAAGGGAGAAAAGGAAAATTGCGCCTCATACTTAAGGGCTGTCTTAGATGAAAAGTCTGAATCATGCTACATGTATTACTTGTTCATTGCATGTCACCTAGACTTTACCTTGTCCAGAAAGGAAGACCTCAAAAACAACATTATGGTTAAGAAGCAGTAGCAGGCAATGGCAACAGGTACAAGGGACTGTCAAATCAATTCCCAAGGGAACTCCTTTTCATTCTTTAGCCCTCAAAAACAACATTATGGTTAAGAAGCAATAGCAGGTATGGCAACAGATACAAGGGACTGTCAAATCAATTCCCAAGAGAACTCCTTTTCATTCTTTAGTTGAAGCACTGAATATTATCAAGTAACCTGATCTAATCAGACCTCCTTCAGTGTGGGGGTTTATCTCTCCAGAAGTCCCTTTGTATCTAGATTTTTTTCTATGACTTATAATTATCAGGTATGCAAGAGCAGAAGACAAATTTTCATAGCAACTGTAATGTGTAAAATACAAGAGTCAAATTACGGTGTTGAAGTAGCAAGCACTAAAAGGCACAAGAAGTGCAAACCCCAGTATCTTTAAAAGAAATGAAATCCAAATTTCTTGTAGACCCCTATGCTCCATGCAGAAATCAATTCCAGTGTTAAGCAAGCAGGGAAGTGTATAGGGTACTTCTACTGAGCTATAGCAGTTGATGTTCAGGCTGCACACAACGTAGGGCTATTTGTCATACCTCCGTGATGCGGTGGAGGACCACAGAGCAGAACCACTCCTTGTCCTTCTCTGACTGACACTGTAATTCTTGTTTTCGTTTCAAAATTTTCAAGATCTTGAGAGAGAAGGAGAAAACAAGACTCAGTTGTTATCTATCAGATTTATTCCTAACTGTACCCCAAGCTATGCAACTACATAACTCAAGAACATATTCAACAGCATACTATAATTTCAGTATGTGAATTGCCACACTGCATGGAAAAATAGCTCATCCAACGTAGTGTCTAATCCTTTGGCAGTCATGAATACCTATTTGTGAAGCAGTTACACTTTAACCCTGTGAGATTATTTACAATTCTTAATTACAAAGCTAATATATTATTCCATGACTCTTTCTAGCACCGTTTTTTGGAACTTACTGGACTCTTGATCTACATGAGTAGGAAAAAAAAGCATTTTGGTTTTTTTGCCTCTTTTATGGAAATAAAAAGCAGGTGTGCTTTTCTATATATACAAGTGATAATGAAACATTATCAGGACTCCCACAGAGTGTGTGTTTAAAAAATGATAAAAGTGTGTTGTATTCTTAATGAGTCTGTGCTGTACTGAAGCTGGCTTCAGTAAGTGGATACATTTTAATTGACTTGAACTGACTTTAGCACTGATTTTAAAGGGGAGAAAGAGGATACTTTCAGTGGGAAATCATGTGATGTTTCAGTGAAATCTCCTGTATAAACATGTCCATGCCTATCACCCATAAGTGAATTTTATGGCTATAAGTCTTTATTTTTTTACTGAATCGAACACCACACTCAATTTCTTCTGCTTTCTCGCATTTCACTGAGATGTGGAAGTATTATCAGTCTCATTCCCTTTAAATAATTCAGTTACAAAACATGATGCAATAGATGTACTTTAAAAAATGATTATTTACATTTTAATCCAGTTCTCTTTCTAATGAGAAGACTTACTACGTTTGTCAGAGTACTTTGGGAAATGATTGCTCAAAATAAATTCAAAACATGTTTAATATAATAATATTAGCTTCCTTTTAAAGCTCTTCATAACATAGTGTTGTATACTGCTTGCCTTAAGCTTATTTTATTTACCTTGCTGCAGATTCTTGTCTCAGAAAATTGTTCCATTTTTCATCAGCTGAACTACTACCTGATCCAGAGTTCAATAGAGAGAAACAGTTCTCGTCAGTCAAAGCAATAATGATTACTGCCTGTACAGGCTCAGCTATATATGTCAATATATCAATTTTCTCCCCCTTAGTTGAACTTTACACAGTTAATTTTTCTTTTGCTCCTCTTCATCTCCTGTGTATTGGTCTCCTATGAAGACTTTGTCTACTCAGAGGTGACTGAATTGAATTAGGCAGCTGTAGCACCTTCTTGTGCTGTCATAGCCACAATAGATGGTACCTGTCAATACACTGGGAAAGTGTTTTAAACGCTGATGTTCTTTTAATTGCCTGCTGGCCAGATCTCTGTCTTGCAGTCTGGGTAGTCCACAGGGACAAAAAAAGATAAGAAAGGCTAAAAAAGAAGGAAAAAAACCTATTTACTTAGTTTTATTCCATCCTGCAGCACTAGTTGGGAAAGAAAACAGTGGATGGATGTGATATGACCAACCGGAGTATGGAGTCATACTTAGAAGGTATTTACTGGTCCAATCTCTGAATGTGGATTTATTTATTTACCGGTTCTGAAAATTCACTCTGAGAAAATGTATCATCTTTCTCCTTTTTCTTTTGTTTCCTGAGGGTTAAGTATTTTCTGAGAAGGCCAGCGCAAAATATTTGTATGGAAAAGTGGCCCCTGGGGTAACTGTCAAGACATTAGATAGGGATTTCCTTGGGTTGGCTGCCCTAAGATTTCTGTGCTCTGGGAGAAGGGGCCAGCTTTGTATGGAAAAAAAAGACCCTTGAATTTTCCTATTTATGATGTTGAATAGAAAAAAGGTTGGAAAAGTGCAAAATATCCTGATCTTTCAGGATTCTTCCATCACTTTCCTTGAGCTGCTAGTGCAACACAGGTTATTCAGTTCCTACATAGAAATGGAGGGTAAAAAAAAAAAAACAAACCCAGAGTCTTGGGCTGTATGGAAAATATGCGTAGTAGAACTAGTGGTTTCCAAAGCTTTCTGCTATGGTAAATAGGTCTACTTTTTTGCTGAGAACAAATTTTCACTTGTTATGAGACACCTGAGGAAGGAGGAAAAAAAAATGAAGAGCAGTGCAGCTGTAGCAAAAGGTTTTCATAACAATTCAGAATTAACTATGTAATGCTTTGAAGTGGGAGTACCTTTTGTAAAGTAATAAGTTGCTAGTAGCAATTCTTAGTTTTACGACATGATATGTCATGGTATGATATTTACTCTTAATTTCAGAAACTGTATCACCGCTCTGTGCTTCTCCATTGAAATTATGATAAGTATTCCCAATTTCAAAGTCAAAAAAGCAGCAGTACTAGATCTGTTCTGAGATCCACTGTTTTGTAATTAGCAGGACTACTTTTGATTATATGTGGGGAAGAAGTTGACTTTGCCTTTTTAAACTACACTTTTCAACCTTCAACTGAATATCAGGATCTGTATGCAAGAGTCCAGGCTCTTTTGTGCAGGTTTAAGGTTCAGTTCTACAGAGCAGCTCAGGTCTTCCTGGTGCTGGAGAGAAGATTTTCATTCCGTTACACTTACTAGCAAATCATAGGTATGAAAAAGTAGATATGAAGGCACATAAATGGTTATGTAATGTATTCCTCTAGCCCGTAATGGGTACAAGTATGCTACGTCCTTCCCAACAGATACTTATTTAACCCATTTTTAAAGACCTCTGAGGGCAGACATTTTCTTTAGACAGTCCATTCCAATGCCTGAATCTGAGGTCATCCCACTGCATCTTTCAGCAGCCACCAATCCCTGTAATTTTGCAGGCCTAAACACAAATTATGTTTTTTCTGTCTGAAGTTGATTTTGATAAATAATTGTACAAAATAAATTTATTCAATGTCTTTCTCTCTAATAAAGAATCATTGCATATTAAAAAAAAGTATCTTTGAAAGAGCAAAACAAAGAAAAAGGAGAAAAAATAACTCATTAGGGGAATCAGTCTTACTTCTGTTGTCATCTTTATTAGACCCTTTCTCCAGGCACGCAGCATCTCCTGTGAAATATTATGACACCTCATTCAGATGGGATTCAATAATGAGTATAAAACTTTGTTATGTAGTACAGGGTGATAAACAGAGGAAAGAGGTGGACCACCAGAAATCATGTTTCTTTTTGCTGGAAGTAGCCTTTTTGCCCAAAAGACTTTCACATCCATTTTTCCCCCTGTCGGGTTCTGTGTATTTTCAATGATTAATTGCAATTTAAAATGTGCTAAATATATATATAGAATAACCTGAAGATGAATACAAATGCGTATATTCTACTTTGCACTTGTTATTCTGAAAATCTGGCTGCTTCTCAAAACCAACTCTCTCTGCCCTGAGCGGGCATTTACACCAAGGACAACCACTCCACTCTCCCACTGTTACCTAGCATAGCTTTAGAACATAACATGACATAAACTAATAAAGCATAATGTTGCTTGTCAAAAAGAGTATCAAATAAGATGACTAAGATCAGGTGTTTGGCACACATTTAGATTGCTAATATGCACTTTGGAATAGTACGACTATTTAACAGATGGCATATTTGCTAACTTCAGTGTTTCTGCAGAGATCTATAAATAAATTATCACCTAGTTCCTACATAATTCCTCCCATTCTTTGTCTGTATTTATCTCACTTTATGAACAACAAGTTCCCTCACACTGCATTGCTCTCTCAGCTGTGTTTTAACAAAAAAACCAACTTTTTTTCCAGCACTGTGCATGTTGACAGATTACTATTGGTATAGCACAGTTAATCAGGGAATGTGATAATGAGGTCATGTAGGCTAAACAAAATGCTCAGGTGAACATGTGATTCTTCACAGCGAAGAGTGGAAATATATGGACTCAGCTGCATGTGGCAAGAAGTCATCAGCTTTGTCTGGGAACATTTGCAGAGCTAAGCAAGAAAGGTATGTGCTCAGAAGCAGCAAAACATAGGGCATTTTGTGGAAACTGAATTAGAGAATGACAGGGCTTTTTCTGACGTAAGTGGGAGTACTTTAGGTGATAGAGCCTTTGAGCTCCTTACCAGGTACGATGGGAAGAATCGGGAGAAGGAATGGGCCAAAGCTTTGTTTTAAGCTGGTGTAAGTCAATAGTACCTCACTGGGGTCAAGGAAGTTATGCTGATTTATGACAGCAAAGGATGTGGCCAGCAAGTGTTCAGTGTAGATATTCAATTACCAGAAGAAGAGAAGGTGGGAAGAATAGTGATTTTGGATGAGGATGACCCACGGCGTAGCTTTACTGAGTACAGAGCTGCCGTTGAGAGCAGGCAAAGAAACCCACAGCGGTGAGTGAGGCATTTATCTGAAGTGATGATCTACGGAGATGGAAACTAATTGTAACTGATATGCGCAAATATTTCCCCCTAAAGTTCTTGTGTTAATAAGTTCAGCCACACAGTATTTTTTCTTTAGTGTTCTAAAGCTCAGCAATGACATAATTGTTGATTGTATGGTGAATACATAACTTCTGATTTCCCCGCCGTCACCACTATTACCCACACATCTGTTTTTTTTCTTTTTAATATAAAATTGCCTGAAAAGTGTTAGAAGGTAGATTTCACTTGCACAAGAGAACCTGTGAAGACATGGTCAGTATTGCTGGGATTAGGGAATTACTTCTTCAATATTTCTGATGGGAACAAAAACCTAATCACAAGCAGCAACGCATTCATTTCAACCTCCCAGTCATGTGTTTGAATTCCTAAAACTGTTCTGGGATAGGGGTAGCACTTCCAAATGAGGGCATTTTAAGAAAGGCATAGGACATCTCTGTATTACCGAATAGCAAACAAGAAAACTGGGACAGTTTAATATATGAAATTGTTACAGACAATTATAGAAAGTCCAATTTATCACCTTGCATAGTTACGAATAGTTCATATGAATTAATGTAATTTCATGCTTTCTTGAACTTTTGATTTTTTCCATAAATATTTTGTCATT